ATTTTTGTTTTACATAATCCACAGAAAATCAAAGTCCCTGGATGCCCCTTATCTTTGCAGTGAAGTGTGAGGTGTGTGCATTTCAGTAGTCCTTGATGCGTGCTCCTTCTCTAAAGCCACATTGTGCAGAGTTTGCCAGAACCATCAGAGAAGTCCTGCACAGACCAAAAAAACAGAGGAGCACTGGAGGAACCAAGGGACCCTGCAGGAAGAATTAAGATGTTTCATCCTTTCCTTTCAGCTTCCTCAGCGAGACTTGCTCTACCAGCCATGAGATTCTGCTCATGCCACTTTGCAAAACGACGACCTTTAAATATTTTTCATGCTGACAGGCATTCCTAATGAAAGAGGCAAGTTTCATTCCAGAGACCTTATACAGAGCCTCACAAAGGAATTGTGGCACTTCAATTTCATTTTAGGCTTCATTCATGTGCTTTACTCTGAGGGGATTCACAAAAAAAAAAAAAAAAAAAAAAAAGCAGCAGCTTTTCTGTTAGAGTTCTTGAGCATACACAGGCACCAAAGTTTTTCAATACAAAACTTATTTAGGTACTTTAGGTTTTGCTACTGTGCAGGCTGAGATAGGCCACCAAGCTGGCTGAGCTGCATGATTCAGTGCCTAAGGCTGTGAGGAATTCACAGCTTAGGCATCCCTCCACCACAGTCCCCTGAGTTCTGATCTGGTAAACTTCACAGTACACCTAACACATTCTGACAGCATGAAGGTCACACCAAAGCACAGGAGCCACAGTTATTTCTATTCAAAAGAAGAGATTATTTCAGGTTCCTGTCCTTTCCAGAACTGCTCAGTCTTTTAAGGAGCTTACCAAAGAAGGGAGCTGTGCTAGTTCAATCATGGTCACTGATACACAATGCAATTTCTGTCCACTTTCAGGGATTTTGTGTACTTTGGAATTAAAGAAATGAACAGATTGATCCAGTCCTATCTGGAAAAAAGGATAAATTGAAAAATATTCTCCGGTCCAAGTTGTAAGTTTATACAAGACATTTAACTTCCTGGCAATTCTGTATGACTCAGGTTACCTGTTAGAAGTCATGTTAAGGAACCTAATTCTCCCCAGTCTGTGTAGGTATATGCCTACCTACATATATAAATTCTTTAATATGCGACTGTGAACAGGTGTTGATTAAATTATACCTTTAATTATAGGCTCTACAACACTCACCAGGACAGTTCTTAATAGGATTTCTGTTCCTGAACCTTCATGTCCATTCCATGAGTGGGAACAAAGATTGTGGTTGATATGTAGCCTCAAGGAGCCTTTGCTTGCAATGGGAGTGAGATTTCATGATATTTCTTTTGTGAAATATTAGGTCTGCAGCATTCAAGTCACATAACACTGGGTCACTCAACTAGGTTCAAGATCTCCTTCCCAATTAAAGACAAAACATCTATGAAATTAGATTTTGGTGAACTAAATGCAGGTGATGATCCCTGGACTGACCCTACTACGTACAGATATGTATAATTATTTTTATTGGAAAGAGTCCAAAATCCTGATGTGCACAATGATCTGTGAAATTTATACTTTGCTTCCACTGAATTGCTTGAAACCTGCTTTTGCAGTTATATCTTCTAACCATGCACAGCTCTGTGTTGTCTACCATAGCAGTCAGACATCACTGAATATTTATGCTTGGAAAACACAATATTCAGCTCACTTTGCAACCTCAGCTGAGCTGAAATTGTTATTATGTGAATTTAAACATACAGAATCATACAGTCTCACTCTATTAGATGTCTTCTGCAATCTATTTCTGCCTGTTAACAGATTTAGTACTCTCTCTAAATTTCATAATTTACCTTATGTATTTTTTATTTATTTGGTGGTGCAGCTAACCCAACAGTAATTTTCATTTTTATCTGTAACTTTTTCTCAGGATATCTTGTACTGACTTTTCACAGTCTTATTCTGTGAAGTAAATGAGAGTCCCGCTTGCTCCTGCACACTGTCTACCTTTTAATTTAGCTGCCTCTAGAACAGCATTAGCAAACAACAAGCAGAGCCACAAAGACTAACAGCTATTAAAAGTTTGTCTAACTGTCATTGGTACCATAAAGAATAGAAAACAATTTGAAGAAATTCTTTGCCCATTGTCACTACTTTCCCTAGAAAGAAAGGATTTTTGTGTAAGAATTTCTTACATATTGTTTGCACTGAGAACAAAGAGTACCAGATATGATTTGCTTTAGAAACTATTGAATGCTGAGTATAATCCTCTCCCCCCTTCCCAGGCTGCAAGTTGTTCAGATGTAGGTCAGGCAGTACACAACATCTTTCAAACCAGTCTGCATTATTACCCACAACTCAGCTGCTTGTTCATCAGCCAGTCCTTTGTTGTCTGCAAACAATTTATCTGAGGTCTACAAGGAAAAAAAATACTTTTCCAAAGATATAATGACAGTATCTCCAGTATCTCATTCTTGTTTTCTTTTTTTTTTTTTTTTTGAGATTTTAATTTCTAGATTTTTACACTGCATTTTAAGAGGTCGTGAGAATGGGGACATAACAGAACTCATATTCTTACAGTTGCATAATAAACCTGCATGTAAGTAATTTTTATCTCCAGGTATGCCATGAGACCTGGCTAAAGGAATTAAGGAGATGAAACTTTTAAAATGTCATCCACATACTTATTCCATCTATACAGTCTTTGGATTTGCCCTTTTACTGCCAGTAACTTGATTTTATTTGTCAAATGTTAATCCAGTGTACTTTTTTTATTTTTATTTTTATTGTACCAGCTACATTAAAAGGGAAAATATAAAGCTTCAAAATAGTGAAGTTCAATGTCTCTTTTTCTCCAAGGAGTGTGGGAGCTGGAGGGACTCCTGAATGTTCCCCATGGATTCCAAACACAGCCTGTTAAATTTCACTTGTACAGAAATCACTTGGGGGGGAAAAAATTAAAAAATCCACAGACAATCCAAAGATGTATGTACTGTGAGGTAAGGCTACATCTTCCTAGGTTTTTGATTTAAGAAAGATATCTTGCTGTCTGCAGAGTGGCAGATGAGTTAAGAAATCGTTGCTATTTTATTGTTTTCTGCCTTCCTCTGTTTAATAGGTATCTTGATCTTCTGGTATATGGTGTAATATGCAATTATTTTTTATATAGGCAATAAAGACTGTTTCATGTATCACACCTTTATTTTAAGACATGAAACAAAAAACAAAAAGTAAGAGAGAAACAGAAGACACTAATTGGAAGGGGCAGTTTGCAAAGTCATTGGAAGATGGCCAGCAACTGAATCTCCAAAAGTTGCCCAACTGAACCCTGGTCTTTATACAAAGAGACATCCTGGGTCTTGTCTCTACTCTGTTTTGGGGATAAGTGAGGTTTTGGGAATTGCCATTCTTTTTTTTTTTTTTTTCTTTTTTTTTTTTTTTTTTTTTTTGCTCTGCTTGAGCTCCTGAAAAGAAAATGAATAAACAGATTTTTAAAAATGGAATTTCTTCCACTACAATTTTGATTCAGACTTCTTTGGTTTAGCACTGCTTAAATCAGTGATTCAGGATTAGCCCATTTCAAGCAGGAGTGGTGCTAGCTCACAAAATGCTGCTGAATTCTGTAGACTCTTGCTGGAAGTCACATGCAGAGGCTGAAAAAAACTGTTGAAATTGCCTTATTTACTCCAGCAGTTCTACACAGTGAAGGCCTCTTGAAAAAAGACACAATACAAAATAATCTGTCAAGCTGCTGGTGTTTATCATGGGTGACCACAAAAATGAGTGGTCTGGAAACAGGACAGAGAGCTCACAGTCCTACTGGCTGTACATCTTTTCCCTGTGGGCTCGCTGGAAGGTCCTTTTGCTGTTTTCTGTTCTGCTGAAGCTGTACACAAAAGCAATGGTGGAGGGGGGGTATTCTGTGGCTGTGCCTTTGAAGAAATACTTCTGCAGTCATGTGCTGCAATTGCAGGCAGTTAAATCGAGTTTGGGGCATTATTATGATACCATTGTGCCATCAGCCCACACCCAGGTCTGCATTCTGCTTCAATTTATCAATTACCTTCAAAAATGCTTATATTAACTCTCTTCTGCTTCTCCACTATCATTGGGTGGAAGGGCATTCCCTGTCTGATGTAGAGAAGGTTTTTTTTCCACCAGATTGGATTATTTCCCCACTCCCAAAGGCAAATTTTATCATAGCTTTCAGCAAAGGATCTGCCTGGATAAGGAAGAAAAGCATGGTCAGGAAAAATGACGTGGAAGTGATGGGAATCAGTGGTGTTGCAGGGAATGCTACAAAACTGAGACTAGGTACAAGGAGGCTCAGGGAAGGTTTCCAGGGGCAAAAAGAAGTTGTGATAAGAAGCTGCTCTCATAGGTCACCATTGCTGGCATAGTCTGAAATAGAAACTATTATCAAGACAAAAACATGAGTGTGAGAATGTGTGTAAATCAACATTTCAAACTGCCTAAAAGCACACTTAGTCCCACACTTTAAATCCTGTTAAAAGAAAAACAATCAGATTAAATAGTCACCAAGTAATGTGCTGGCCACCAGCTTCTCCTGATGAAAGGGACAGTGCCAATGTGTGTGAGCACATACATGTGTGTGGTTGTGACTTTTAGACATCAGCTCTGGAAAGGTATTTAGAAATGTGTATATCAACATTTGCATCTGTCTAGAACTGTGTTATTGACCTTGATCTTGAATGCATAGTTCCTGACCTGTCATTAACAAATCAATAAATCACTTTGATCATAATTGGTTTTAAACTATGTGAACTGGGTTTTTTTTCCCCTGAGACAGAGAGCAGGACTGGTAGCAGATGTGAGAGACATAGAAGATGAACTGAATAGAGAACAAGGACAGGTTTGGCAAGAAAACTGAGACAAGAATCTGAAAAGACAAGGTGTACGGGAGGGAGGAGGTAGATAAAAGGTAAAAGGTGTTTGGAGGTGACATGAAAGATTGTGCAACATTTTTACTCAGTCCGAAATAAAATCTTTGATTCCCAAAACTCATACCTGCTGTTTAAGGAAACACGTTTCTCATCCCACTTTGATGTCGGTCCGGGAGGAAAACATCCTGCTGCTGCTGTCCTTTACTTCATTAATTCATGGAGAAGAGAAAAACCACTTAGGTCCTGATTCTCTTCATGCAGGAAGTAGGTGACAACCACGCCATTGATTTGGTTTTGCTTCTACTACAGTCACACACCATTTTCTCTCAGAAGAATACGATCATGACTGTGAGGCTGCCAAAAATTAGAAATGGACAGAATCCAGGTTAGCAGTATGACCATAATTTGGCCACCTTTTTTATATGGAATGTAGTTTTTAATTACAGGATCACACATTCAGTTCTCTCAAGAATACTCCTACTTAGTGCATCAAAAGGACTTAATTAGCAGCTGTTCAATATTTTCCTTGGCCTCATTGTTCAATATGTTGCCCTGGGTCTAATTTAAAAAAAAAAAAAACAAGCAAACTGCTCTGAAAGCAAAGTTATTAATTTCCTCTGGGGCTTTTCTATGATGCTTATCACCCCAGAATTTGAGTGTTTTGCAGACAATTAATCCATCATTGCAAAAACCATGTGAAATTGGAAGGCACTATCTCCATTTAGGAAATAGAGAGCTGAGATATAGGCAACCCACAGATATTGAGTGTCCAATGTGAAATACTTCCGACTGTTAAAATGGTGCTGTAGCATTACAGAGGATCTTGCACATTGATGGATTAGTTCTCATGGACTTTGCCAGCAACTGGACCTTTCAACATTTTGCAGAGCAGACTTGCAGGTACAGACCAGACAGTCAAAGATTAAGAACTTATCAGAGTCTCAAATCATTACATACTGAGTTCTCAGAAGGGACAGGTATAGAACTAATTTTCTCAGAAAAAAAGTCACATTTCTGTTCCTACAGCTCCCTGCCTCAGCCCCTATCCATCTGTCAGCTCTTAAATGAACAAGGAAAAGGGATTTATAAAAGAAAAATCCCATTCTTCCACTTCATTATTGAGGCATCTGTGTGTTAGCTGAGGTCAAAGTACTGCAAAGGAAATATTAATTGATCTTTGGTTAATTTTTTTTTTTTTAATATTCAGATACAGGGTGACAGGGTTGCATAGGGGCTGGGGGGTAAAACGTCAATGGAGTTGTTCTGCCATTTCCAAATTTTAGATATTTTAATTGTATTTCCTCATATAAATTCATTTATGAATGAGTGTATGACCACTTACATATGCAATATAAAGTAGAAGCTTTTTGATTTACCAACACTGAAAAATATGAGATGTAACCAGGAAAAAGTCACTACCAACTGCTCACTCTTTGGAGATAGAGAAAAGCTTTTAAGTATTTTGTATATGATAAGCAGTAATATGCAAAGCTAAAGATCCATTTTCTATTGCTTTCAGGCACAATTAATCTTGAGCAGCCTGGACAGGCAGCTCTTCTGGATTACAGAACTGACAGAAAAACATGAAAGCTCCAGAGATTTCTTGCTAAGGCGCTCTGCTATTCCAGCTGTGCATTCACTAAGAACATCAGCAAACTTTCTAGCCTGTAATTTGATTAAATTAGTCTCCACATATATGCAAGACAAAAATAAAATTTCTGTTTCCAGTTAAGCAATATGAACCTGCTCAGTTTTACTATATCTTCTCAGTAATTATTAAAAACAATAATTAAGGACGGTAATGAAGTTACCCCACTGTTCTAATGTAGTGTATAGGTCCCCTAAGATAATTAAATTAAAATAATATAATTGTTTTCAGTATCTGTCTTTTCCTAGGGTGTCTCCCATGTGGAGAGCCCTCAGTTTATTCATCCTCTGACACAGGAATTTTCTTCTCCAAAGTCTGTAGGAGAGATCTAATGTGCTTTCTTGATCCAATGGCCTAACTCAGTTAATTAATTTGTCAGCAATGAATTTAATATCACTTTATTGAAACAATCTTTAAAGAGAGTGGAGACATCTATGAAGGGACTCAGTTCTCAGGTCTTTAGAGAAATTTGTAGCACTTAGGGGACAGGAATCACTAAACATGCAACCTTTCTGTCTGGTCCAGCACAGATAAACACATTTCCTCACACACTGTCTACAAAGGTTTTTCAAAATGAGGCTCTCCAGGAAGGCAAAACCCAGTCCCCTACTACCCCCAGTACTTCCTCAGAGTGTGAAACTGGCCCTGAGTAGGGAGTACCTGGTGTCCAGGTGCGCCAAAGCAGGCGGTGGGAAGGCAAATGTTCTTCCCAACCACAGACGTTCCTCGCACCCATCAGTGTCCACACACACTGAACCACATCAGCCTGAATAATATTGCAATGGTTGAAATGTGTATTCTCAAATAAAGGAGTGGCACCAACACTGAGGCACCACAATAAATACAATAAATAATGCGATTTTCAAAGCTGCCATTTTTACAGTGTGTCAGGTCCAAGCCAGCAGCTGAACACTGGAAAAGCCCTGTTAAAGGCAGCCCTTCAGACAGCCCTTGCAGCATTTCAACATTTAATAGCTTCATATAACACCAACCATAACTTAGATTTCAGAATTTCGGGCTTTTCTGATGCAAGTTACCTCCAGTGAGCTGAAACAGTTACAGACAAAATTAAGCAAAAAATTTAAGTGAAAATTTAAGTCCAAACTACTGTCCATGCTTTGAATCTTCATCAAAATTGATGTCCTTGCACAAAATTTCAGAATGTTTTTTCCTTGCTTCCTAAGAATAGTTAATTTAAAAATCTGTTTATGGGTGTATAAATTAAGATTATTACTAAAACAGCATTATTTTGCGAGGTTTTTTTTCTTATTTAGAACTCTTAAATTCTTTTACTTGAGTTGTTACTTTGTTTTTTTTCCTTGCTGTCACAACAGTGCAGGTCATGTACTTGTCTTAGGCACTCAATATAACAGCTTAAAATATCGACTAGATATAATTAATTTTTAAGAAAAACTGTGATGCCTTTTGTCATTTCTTCAATTAATTATTCACCACTGTTACTAAATAAAAAGCACCCGTGGTGCATTTGCTTGTTCCTCATTCCATTTTGACTCGATGCTGAGGTGTCTCAGTTGATTAAAAGAAGAGCAATGCACTAATAAAGGCATTAATCTGGTGCATAAGACATTAGAGCATAATTCTGTGCTTGGTGTGTTCTGGTGCTGGTCATTTATCCTTCAATCTGATGGCTCCAAGATGAAGATTAAAACCCTCTCTAGTTCTCTGTTCCTGCTGGAAATACAAACCCGGAATCTCCAAGCCCCTGGATGTACGAGGCGTGGCAGGACAGTGCCCTGATGTCCCTGCAGGAGCAGGAGGAGGGAGAGCTGTGCCCAGCCCAGCACTGCACTGCCAGCAGCGCTGCTGGGATCTGTCCTGCTGTCCCCTGCTTCTGCAGCACCAGTGCAGTGTTTATCATTCTGGCTAATAGCTGGTGTTGTGGCTCATAAATGGGTCAATTAGGCACAGCAGCGGGTGCAAGACTGTTTGAAAGGGTATGAAGAGGAGAAATTGTAGAAATCACTGTTTACCAAGAGCAAGCAAACTGCAAAGCCCCCCCTTTTTTTTTCTTTTTTTCTTTTTTTGAGAAGCTGCCAAGTGGGGTGTACTAACACATTTCCAGAACTTTTTTGCATCTCCTATTTCTGCTGAAGGAGAGAGCTGTGGCTGCTGCCCCACACCCCCAATATATATTATTTTATTGAGCCTTCCTTATAGCTTGTCCATTTTGCCATGTGTTGGTAAACCTTTTGGGAACAGGGAGACAAGAAAAGTTTTCTAGCTTTGTGCCACCACATTGGATATTGGATCAATATTGGACCAATCCAATTGGTGGCACCAATATTGGATCAAGTAGCTAATAAATTAATTCAGTAGCAATGCCCATAACTACTCAGATTTCCCACACAGCTTGACTCTCTCTGAAATTACCTTTGCAAGGGACCCAGATACATTTGCAAATAATCTGAACATAAGTTTTGTGAAGTGTATTTTTGAAAGAGTGTAAATGTATTTTTGGCTAGTGATTTGGAGAGCTAAAGTTAAATCTCATCTCTCAGAAGGACCTAGGAGTCACAATCACATAAGCATAACTGAAAATGTACCCTTCTTATTATTACAAATTGTTGCTACTTCCAGGGTAATTAATCTCCTCTTTAGGCAGAAATACCAAGCACTCCAGCTAACTCAAAGTGATCCAGCAGCTGTTCTTAGGCACTTTCTACTCATCAGCGAAACATATGACTGAGCCTTAAAAATATTGCTGGAGATACTGTTCCAGAATTCTGTTATATCTGGATACCATTCATCCAGGGACTACTTACATGCATCTACAGACCGAGCATAGTGGCAACAGCAGGTGTGGGGTTAATCAATGAATCACAGAACCTCTATGCATGCTGGGGAAAAAAAATCAGCAACAAAACAAACCATCAAAAGCAGGCTGGAGAGCTGTTTCTTGAACATGTATGTCCAGAAATTTCTGAAACCAATTCTGGCAGTAACTCTGGCTGTGATGGGCTAGCCCTGGCTAACCAAGGTTCACCCACCTGCTCACTCTCTCCGGTGTGATGGGAAGAAAACAGAAGGAAATTGAGAAGATATGTAGATCAGGTTAATGACAGTTTAACAAGGAAAGCAAAAGCTGCATGCACAAGCAAAGAAATGGAATTAATTCAATGTTTCCCACTGGCAGGAAGATGTCTATCCACTTGCTGGAAAGTTCAACTTCAGCACATCCAATAGGGAAGAAAAACACCCTTTTCCCTCACCCTTTTCACTGAGCTGTTCTTGTAGAGCATGACATCATCTGGTAGGGAATATCCCTTTGTCAGCTTGGATCGAGTGCTCCAGCTGTGTCCCCTCCAAACCCCTCATCCAGCCCCAGCCCATGCAGGGATGTGCAGGAGAGCGGGGCAGGCAGACAGAGCCCTGGTGCTGTGCCAGCACAGTTTGGCAGCAGCCAAAGCCTTGGTGTGGTGTCACTACAGGACACGTGAAAGCACGACGCGAGCCGCTGCTCTTGCAAAGGTGAAAAAGAGCACGTTTATTTTCTGACTCCAGCATTTATACTTTTCCAAAGGTGACAGAGGATTGGAGCGTGAATGTGCCACCTCTCCAATGACACTGGACAAACTACCAGTACATCAAATATCTCCACCTCTATGGAGGAAGGCAAAACAATAGATTGCTTACAGAAAGTTGTGTGAGAAAGTTGTCTACAAGAATGTAAACTCAAAAGGCTTTA